GAGCGCCAGCGGAGTGCCCACCCGTGTGCCGCCCCGGTCCTGGTTCACCAGCGCCCCTGTCTGTCCCTGACGTCCAGTGCGTCTGCGGCTCGTGGCGGCGCGGGGTGGAGAGACCCGCAGTCTGTTCTGCACTCTGCGTGGCCGCGGTGGGCAAGGGCTCTGCCTGTGACTCAGTTGTGTGTGTTTGCCCTGCCAGCGCCTCGCTGAACAAACAGTCGTGGGGCTGGGCACTTCTCTGTGGAGTGTTTACAGTGGAGCCTGGGCGGGGGTGCGAGCGCGTTAGAAGGGGAAGGGGACCCTCACCCTCCACCACCGCACCGCCGGCCTCCGCAGGGCGAGCTGCGGGTGGAAAGCGCCCAGAACAAAGCAGCGAGGCTCGGAACAGATGGGGAGGAGGAGCGGGGTCCGGAGACCTGCTCCGGTGGGGCTGCTTCTCAGTCTGGCAGCTCTTGCTCGCTGCCTCCCCTCTAGAGAAAGGCTACCCGCCTCCGTCCCAGGTCCCCAGTGTCGTCTTGCTCCCTCGAAATCTGGCAGGGAGTTGGTGGAAGTAAGAGCGGCTCTAATACGTGCAGATGCCCCAGGCCCGCCTCTTGCCCACCTGCTGCTGCCGGCGGAGAGGGACAGTGTCCCGGACTCCCTACGCCCCGGACCAGGGCACTCGTGGCACTTCTCCCAGGGACCTCCATTCCGGAACTTCAGCTCGTTCTCGGGTCCCCTGCCTGGTGGGAGAAGCTAGGGGCGGCGGGGCGGCGAACCGAGAAATCCGCTAATTCCGGGATTTACAGTGGCAGGGAGAGAGCCGAGCCTTCGCCGCCGCGCCCTCCTCCGCCGAGGTCTCTTTGTACTTCGGGGCGGCCAGGCCCGCCACCAGGGCCCGCGGAGCTTCGGATTCGCCGCTCCACCCGGACTTAGCCGAAGAGGAAAGTTGGAAGAGATCGGCGCGCCTGGGATGTGATTGTCATCCTGGGGCTGGCGCTCGAGAGTCTAAGAGAGAGGAGGGGGGAGGCGGGGGAAGGGAGGGGGCAGAAAAAGAGGAGGGTGGAGAGGAGGGCAGCGTTGGAGAGGCGGGCGCGAGGGAGGGGCGAGGGGAGCGCCAACGAGCGAGAGAGGGAGCCGGGGAGGAAGAGGGAGAGGGCG